CTCTTAGGGGCAATTTGGTCTAATTAAGGAACTTAGTACTTTGATTTTAAATATGGGGTTGTAGTGTCTTATCTTCATCATGATTGCATCCCTGGAATCCTTCACAGGGATGTCAAGTGCAATAATATTCTATTGGATTCAAAGTTTGAGCCATATTTAGCAGATTTTGGATTGGCAAAGCTAATGAATTCAGCCAATTTTCAACTTTCCATGTCAAGAATTGCAGCATCATATGGCTACATAGCACTAGGCAAGTCACTAGTTTGTTGTTTTTGCTTTTAAATTTGTTATGTTATATTGAACTTGATATTGATTTACAAGTTATTAATTGATAGTACTAGAATGTATGATTTATACTTAGTATAACAACATCAATATAGGATTTTAGAGTTAAACTTGGGGGTTAAAACGAAAGGGTACTTTAACAGCACACTGAATATTCTACAGACCTAAAGATAAATTTTTTGAAATTATATATGTTTTATGGATTTGAATGTTATATATTAAACAACTCATTGATATATAAGTTAAGCATATGGCTTATCAAAAATTGAACCGACATGCCAACTCGACCTGAACCCGACTCAAAAAATTCGGGTTCGAGTTGACCCGAGTTATATTCGAGTTTAGTTCAAGTTAAGAGATCTAACCTTTTTAATTTTTTGGGTTGAGCTCCGGTTGACCTACCAACCCTAATTTGACCTGAAACTAAGCCACTAACTCAAAATGGATTCAAAGCAACCCGCCAACCCAAAATCAACCCGAGATTGAGTCGAAATTGACTCAAAGTTGACGATTTTAACCTACCTAGTTGTTATGTCTTATGTTAAACGATTTTAACCTTCAACATGTTTGGCATAGCATGTTGAAGGTTGGTCGGGTTAGGGATTATTCTATCTGGTTAATATTTGGGTTGGGCTCAGGTCAAGCAGCTTTGAGTTTGGTCAATTTCAGGCTAGACCTGACCCCAACCCAGAGGGGCGGAATTAACGTTATCTTGTAGGGCAAAATCACCAAATGTCTCATTTTATTTAAGTAATGGGCAAAAATTATATGTTTTTTTTGGTGGGGGGGTGGGGGGTAAAAGAAGAAAAGCATCAATTATCATTAGTCATACTCTAAAATTCTTGTTTCAACCAATTTGGCACCCCTACTTAAGCATGCTAGGAATAAGAAAATTAAGACACGGAGGGAGAGAATAAGAATTATAGGTTGAAAAATTAATATAACAGAGAGACCATAGATGTAGTATTTATGGAAGATGACATAATATAAAATAAACTTAGATGATTTAGTCATGTATTATAAATATTAGAAGATTCACGAATAATGAGAACGCATATAAATTAATATAAGTATTAGGAACAGAAGTCATAAATCAAAGATAATTTAATTGAAGTTGTGCAAGAAGATGCACACAATTGATTTAAACCTCACTTAACATTCAACAAGGCAAAAGGAGCAAGTAGTTGCGTTTGGCTAATGATGATTGTTAAAATGTTGCGAACCTTAATTTTTTAATCATTTCAGAGTATGGGTACACTACAAACATTACAGAAAAGAGTGAGGTCTATAGTTATGGAGTAGTACTCTTAGAGATCCTAAGCAGCCGCAGCGCCATCGAACCCATGGCTGCTGATGGGCTTCACATTGTTGATTGGGTAAAAGAAGATGGGAAGCTTTGAGCCCACCATCAATATCCTGGACTCGAAGCCTTGTGGTCTCCCAGATCAGATGGTTCAGGAGATGCTTCAAACATTGGGCATTGCCATGTTGTGTGTAAATTCGATGCCATCAGAGCGGCCAACAATGAACGAAGTGATTGCCTTTCTGAAGGAGGTGAAGAGCCCACCAGAAGAGATGGGGAAAACATTTATGCCGCCACTTATAAATACTGTGAGCTAGCTGATCGTCTAATCTGTGTTTTTGCTTTACTGCATGAATTTGTCTTCATTTAAAATGGATGGTTTTTGCAGGTTGGGAAAAGAGGGAGTGCGGAGAAGGTTGTATTGCTTTGAGTTTGGTGTTTGGTGTACAGCTCAAAATTTTCTTGGCAATGTAGGCTGAATTCATGAATGAGTTACTTTCTATGGCACCTCAAGTTTTCTCATTTGTATAACTGGTAATCATTTTATTAATGAAAAACCTATCATTAGCTTTCATTAACCGAAATTGTAGATTTTATGGCATCTACTGGAAAATCAGTCGTTATTGTGAGTTTATTTATTAACTGTAATGTGTTCTTTGTTAACTTACTTAGATAATGTATTTTTTTTTTTTTTTCCCCGGAAAATTGAGCTAAAATGACAATATGAGTGACTCAAATTCACGACCTCATGATAAGAAATTAAGCCCTCAACTATTTTGTTGCAAGTGCACTAAAGAATGTACTGTGGCCTACCATGATTAAAGAAAAATTCATCAATTAGTTTAAAGTTTTGATGCTGATAAATTTGATTGATTTATCAGCTGTCATCAAAATAGATGTTAAAAGTCTCAGTTATAAAATTATTATTTAAATATGGGATGAAGCCAAATAAATGATATTTGTTGATAGTAGAATATTTATATAATAGGGGTTAATCAACGAATCTCCAAGTAAATGGAGTAACTCAGCTTTATCTTGAACAAAAATCAAGAAAGTTATCTTGCATGCTCTCATGCTGTATCATATTTGCAGCAAATCACAAACCTCAAGGAAAGGACGAAGATGCCAGCCGATAAGGTGTACCTTCAAAAGGAAAAATTTGCTTTCTTCGTAAATATAACGACTTGAAACTTGAATGCTTTATATCTATACTGATTCACAATACAAGCTTTCAAACTTTAGCTTCAATCGATACCTTATAATAGCCTGGTAAAGGCATTAAATTTGCGTAAATGATTTGAGAAATCAAAAGCAGACTGTAGAAGGAGGAAGTAACCAAATATTGAATAAATTTGGAATGCAGATATAATTCTTTCAATCAACGGCCTGATCCTTATAAATAGCTATTTCAACATGCATAGACCATACAATTTACTTTGGAAGTTTGATTTACAGTTTATATGTACTGAAAAATAAAATTATTTCATTTGAAGGGAATTTAGAAAAACCTAAGGAGGTTAAAGTTAACGTTTAGATCCAACATGCAATTGAAGTGAATTGGATGAATGATGTTTTATAGTTACTTTTAGAATTAGCGGATCATTGGGGAGGACCCAAATTCTAGCAATGTCATATAGTTGTATAAGATCCCTAAACCCTAAATCGCTAACGCAAAACATTTTGGTTTCAGTACAATTAGCTTCATGATTTAGATGAAAAGATTACCAGCTGTTGCAAAATTCCCGACCCTTTCGCACTACATTCCATCAAAGATGTCTACTTGAAACAAATTTGCCAATAATTTTTTTCTTGCACGTGAAATGTAGAAAAGCTCCCGGCGTAAGCTTGTCCAACAAAATAATGTGGCTTGATCATCTATATAGCATTCCTACAAAACTATGAAATACAGCGCTCATATTTCATACATTTCTGTAGAAGGCTAATAGATCTCCAAAATTTTCAGTATCAACTCGATGTAAATAATTTCTTTTTCTCAATGGAACTCTTACCTCTGAGCCCAACAATGCTAAGTTTTGAGCCACCTGATCTCGCAGCACCAATTTTATTATTCGCGGAAACCTTGGAAACTTTTGATGAACTTGCTTGTTTTGATGGTGCAGAAGTCCTTTTATCCTTAATGGATGCAGGCTTTCGATCTGGAGTTGATGGTGATGCGGATCTTTTAACCTTAATGGGTGCTGTTTTGCCACCAGATTTGCTTGCTGCCCATTTCTGGGGCACCGTGGGAACTGCTTTTCTCCCAACTATAAGAGCTTTTGGACTACTCCTTTTACTTGTCTCAGTTTTTTTGGCATTTCTCACCCTCGGATCAACCGGCTTCAACTTGGCAGCATCTCTCCTGACACTGCCTATGTTGAGGGATTCAAGACTCTCGTTTTTCCTCATCGCTTCCTCAATGCAATCGGCTAGAAGCAGATCCTTCTTTGCAACTAGGCTTGTAACTTTACCTGAAATAATATGATTTTATCAGATGGCAGGAATATGTGTAGGCTGATATGAAAATAATGTGAAATCAGTTTTAGAGGACAAATTATACAGCATTGCCAAATTGGACGGCTAAAATAGCTTTACAATGCTTAAAAAGTAAGATAATAATAACTGATGAAGGTTATTTTAAGGATGCAGGAGAAAGCTCGGCTTTCAGGGTAGAGATGCAACACCAGCAGACCTTAAAATAAAAATGATACCAAATACTGGTGCCTGCATTTTACCGGAAGGTTTTAAAAATCGCTTAAATTTTCACATTTAATTTCGTTCTTGATCTAAGTCATAGTTCAATCTAATCATTCATCAGAAAAAAATCTTAACAGAATTCCTAATAGCAAAGAATCTTTCTTAAAACAAAATCACTGATTAATCGCAAGCATGTAGATTCTTTTTTTTAACTGAACGTTAAAAAGGAAGGTCTAAGCTCAATTTTCTAACAAACAAAATCTTGACCATTCAACTAGATTTATTGCATATGTTTAATTTATAATTCATTTTTACCTTGAATAAAGCGAAGAATAAATGAACCATTAGAAGCCATAAAAACTTGATTATTTGAACAACGCAATAAAAATAACTCTTTATGAAAAAGAAATGGCTAGAATTAGGAGTAGTTAAAATGGAAGAAAAACTCTAGAATTTTATGTGATAAGAGGATGCAGAGAAGCTTAAAAATACTTTATATAGCCATAATTAAACTAACAATATTATATGAATCCAAATGTTGTGTTACAAAAAAGTTATTGATATCTGAATTAAGTACGGCAGAAATGAGAATGTTAAGATTGATGTGTACCAAAACAAGGAAAGATAAATTAATGTAGGGCTCTATTAAAGGAAAAGTTGTAAATGACATCTAATGAAGTTACCATGATTGAAAATAGGATTATGATGAGTAGAAAATAAGCTTGTTAGATAAATTGATAAAATTAGTGATAGTACTAGAAAGAAGTTGTGGACCTAATGTTACGTAGATAAATGATGTTCAAAAAGTTTTGCAAATAATAACTTTAGCATCTTAGAAAGCATCACCAAGAACAAATGAAAGAAAAAAAAATTTATATTGTCAATCCCAAATGGTTAGTGTAAGGCAATGATTATGAAGATGATCCCGTTTCAATAATTAAAATCTACTATGATTATCATGTAATTCTGTTTTATTATTGACAATAACAACAACAAGAACAATAAGCCTTTATCCCACTAAGTGGGGTAGGCTACATGAATCTTTTTTCTCCATTGTTTTATTGAGTGTCATATTTTCATTTAATTCTAATAAATTTATATCATTTTTTATATAACATGCCCAAGCATTCTTAAGTCCACCTCTACCTTTCTTAACGTAAGTCGAATCTAAAATATCTACTCTCCTAACTGGATCATCAGATGGTCGACGTTTAATATGACCAAACCATTTAAGATGAATCTCTTCAATCTTGTCTACCACTGGAGCTACACCAACCCTTTCACAGATATATTTGTTTCGTATTTTGTCTCTAAGTGTAAAGTCACACCTAAGCATTATCATCTCAGCAACACTTAGTTTTATGCTTCTCTTTTATAAGCCAACATTCTGCGCCAAAGAAGATTGCAAGCCTCATCGCAATCTTATAAAATTTTCCTTCAAGTCTAAACGGTACTTTTTTATCACACAATAGGTCTGATGTATTCCTCCACTTCAACCATCCAAGTTGAATTCTACTAATAACACCCAGATCTATATCACCATTACTTTGAGCAATAGACCAAAGATATCTAAAACATCTACTGTTTTTAGGGTTTATTTGGGGCAGCTACAGCTTATCAATAATCTGCTGATAAGCAGCTGATCCAGATAAGTTGTTGATCAACAGCTGATCTGGACAAGTTTGCTGGCTGTTTGGTTTATGAGTTTGGAAAAAACTGATTTGTAATTGTTTTTGAATAAATGACTATTATGTCCTTGTGCAGTAGTGTTGTATGCAACAGAACTATTATAGTTATATATCTTATAGTATAGAAGCAAAAAATCACTTCACAATACCAAAAAAAATTATTAAAATTACAATTAAAAATATGAAAATATAGTGTGTATATTGCCCATTAATTAAAGCGGAATTTAGCTTGAGTTTGACAAAGAAAAAAATAAAATAAAATGACAACAATAATAAATCTCACATAATCATAAATCCCTTTTCTTACTCCTTTTCTTACTCCTTTTCTTGAAGGTTACCACATAATCATAAATCCCTTTTCTTACTCCTTTTCTTGAAGGTTACTTTGAAGGTTACCGTTGGTGATTGAAGAGGTAACGTGGTAATGTGGGGAGCTTGCAGTTGGAACTAGAAGTGGTTGGTTTGCTTGTGGTGAGGGCTGGATGAGTTTTTAATTATAGGGAACCGAACTCGGATAATCAGGCTTCTCGTGACATGATAGAGAGGAAGAATTGGGTTTGAACAAGAATAAGGAGATCTGATCTATGTTGTGGTAGGAAATGTATCAAACACAAAAAGAGAGGGATTCTGCTTGGGTTGGAATTTTCAGGGGAGGAAGGCGTGAGGACTTATAAGGTCGGCTTCGAGTCGAGTATCTGAAAGTGAAGGCGGGAGAGGGGGGGGGGGGGCGCTTGCCTGCGAGAGTGGAGGAAATGTTGAACTCATGAAACCGAGAGGGAAGGGCGCAGGATGATGCTGCATGAGGAGTCTTCTGAACAAGCTGGAGAAGGAAGGACCAGACGATACGGAAAGAGGGCAACCCATCAAAATATTTCCCGAAACACGAACAGTGGGGTTCGACCCACGGCCCGCGTTTAATGTAAAAAAACAAATGTCGTTTTGTAAACACTGCCCGAACGTTAAATCGAAACGGTGAGGCGGCGTTTTCAAAATGTCGTCGCAGCTAATAAGCTACACCAAACGCACTCTTAATGATTTGATCACTCATTATTACAACTCCGCCAAAAAGAAGGTTTTTAAACTCTAAATTAAACCTTCATAATTCAAGTTTTTCATGATCTCTTTCTCCATTCCTATCCACGAGAATGATATCATCGGCAAAAAGCATACACCAAGGTATATCCTTATGTAAATGATCAGTAAGTATTCATAACTAAAGCAAGATGTTATGGGCTTAAAAACCCATCCTTGACGTAATCCAACTGAAATAGGAAAATACTTAATCATCCTTCTGTTTGAACACAAGTAACAACTATAGTAACCATATCATTAATGACTTGAAAGGAAGTCATCTCAACACATTTCTTTTCTAAAACTCTCCAACTTCTCTTGGAACCTCATCATAAGCTATTTCTAAATCAACAAAAATCATACTTAGATCCTCCTTACTGTCTATGTACTTCTTCATCAAACCTCTCAATAAATATAACTTTCATAGTAGACTTGTCCGACATAAATCCAAATTGAAAAAGAGAAATCTTTGTATTACGTCTAAACCTATGTTCAATTACTTTCTCTCATAATTGTAATGCATGACACATACACTTAGTTCCTCTATAATTTACACACTCTTGGGCATTCCCTTTATTCTTCAAAATGGGACCAAACTAATCTTCCTCCATCCTCAAGCCTCTTTTTTGTTTTTAAAATAGTATTAAAAAATTTGGCAAGCCAAAAAATTTCCAAATCTCGTAAATATTTCCACTTCTATTGGGAATCCATCAGGTCCTAATTTTCCATCCTTGATTTTCTTTAAAATCTCAACTTCCTCTTTACTAATATGATGGTAAAAAACAAAAAATTTTATTATTATTAATAATATTAAGATCACTAAAGTCAATCTTATTTTCAGAAAATTCATTGAAAAGTTTATCAAAATATCTCTCACATATGTTGAATATCTTCATATAAGAAAAATGCTTATTGATTTTCATCACTAATACATTTTACTTGAATTAAATCTTTACTTTTATTTTCTTTATTGACTAATTTATACAAATATCTTTCACCATTCAAATATCTAATCTATTATAAAAATCACAAAAAGCAGAATTTTTAGCATCACAAATTGATCTCCAATACTCCCTGTGGATCACCTTATATTTTTTCCAATTCTCTAAGATTTTACATTTAAACTAATTTTTATAACAAACTTCTTATATTTTATCTTTTCTTGCACATTATTATTTCACCACTAACTATTTTTATTTATAAGAGTATTTTCTTTTAATTTTTCAAATGCATTTTTTATCACTTGTTTAATAGTGTTTGTTACTTTATGAACATGCCAAATCCTACAATTTTAAAGTTTATTCATAAAAATAAGTTTGTCTTTTAAGCGTCCTCGTCTAATTCTATGACAATACTTTATTGTATTTTTTATCTTTTGACTCTTTATCTTAAAATTCAAAACTAAAAACCAATATTGAGTACTTAAATTTTCCTCGTCTAATTCTATGACAATATTTTATTGTATTTTTTATCTTTTGACTCTTTATCTTAAAATTCAAAACTAAAAACCAATATTGAGTACTTAAATTAAATTTTCACTTGGAATTACACTTGGAATTACTTTACAATCTTTACATTCTCGACGATCTCTTTTTCTCATAAGAAAATAATCAATTTGTATTTTATTATTTCTATTTTCATTATTGAATTGAATGAAAATTTCACAATATAAAATCAACAATTCAACTACACCTAAGGACTACAAATTTATGCACATGCGTTATTCAAAAGGCTAGTGGCTGCTCTTATATAAGTTAAAAATGCCATACAGCAACAAAACTGTAAATTGAGATAAGAAAAAAAACCTTGCATTACTTGTTGCATCTTTAAAATGCAACTACAATTCAGAAATAAATATAAAACCAAAAAGCAGGTTTATTACATATGAAATATGGCATTTCACAGAGTTGAAACTATAATATCTTATTATTTCAAATTTCAAAATTAAGCAATTTCAATTCATATATAATATATATATAACTATATGACAAGCAGGGTTACGCCGCGGACTCAGATCAGATGGTCGAGAATCAACTTGTCAATTGTAAGTCTCCTCTGGTCTGAGGTTCAATTCCCCCCGAGTGTAAGGTATGGTATTTGAATTCTTAGGTGCATGAAGGATATATATATATATATATATATATGACAGCAAGATAAAATTTTTATTATATCTCTATAACAGTTCATAATCAAGTTCGCATAATGAAAGCCTGCAAAAGGGTATAAAATACGAGAAGTGTTCTCTAAATGTTACCAATACTGGATACTTAATTGGCGAACTAAAAACAAAGACAATCACTTAACATATAAACTAACATAATCTGAACTATATTTTATACTGCCTACTAATTTAGTTAATATTTTCTCACTTTATGTTGCTATGCAGGGGTACGTAACTAGCTCTCCTAGCCAACCTAATATGATCCCATACATTTTTTTATGAAACATACTTTAAGCAACAAGTGGAAAAACCTGAACTTATAAAAGTAGTGGCATCTATGAAAACTGAATAAGAAAATCATGGGCATGCGCTGGCATTTAGTTTGAAAAATCATAAACCAAGCTTACCTTTGGCACCCATACGAGCAGTCCTCCCAGTTCGATGAAGGTAATCAATCTAAAATCACGTAAATGTGATTCAACCACGGGTCCAACAACAGAAAAGAGAAATTAGTTCAATAAATAAGAGACACGCAGCACGCACAGAATTCTTTGGGAAATCAAACATAATAACATGGTCGACAGCTAAATCCAATCCTCTGGCCGCCAAGTCAGTGCACACCAAGGTAGGGCAGTCACCTACATCGCTCTTGAACTTCCTCAGGTTTTCTGTCCTGCCACCAAAAATGCAAACAAGTCACATTGATTTGCATCATTTTCTTGATGCTCTCAAATAAAATAACTTACAAGAAAGTAATGGACAAGGACAAATAACTTTAGGGGCTTATAAATCTTAAACTCATATAACCTTATCTAAGGAATGTAAAAATCTTGACTAACTTGGCAATAACAGCATTTCCGTCATAATTAACATCGTCACTACCCCTATTAAACCTACTTAAGCTCAGCTCCATGAAACATTCTAGTGCATGCAGAAGATTTCACCCATTATTCCAAATAGGACTGATCATATACCAAGAGTGAGATGGTCCAAAGGAGGTGAGCGTGATAGAAGAAATGGACAAGAGAAAACAGTGAATGGTAATGAGAAGCACTCCATCAGGATTTGGTGAGAAAAATTATGTACTATGGCTAATATTTATGTAGAAAAGTTGGAACTTCCATGTGAGAGATTTATTAAAAGGTTGCATATAATAAATGTTACCAGCGTCACTGTAAAAATGTCCTTTGATGCCTCCCTACAGAACCCAAAACGCCCCTTTCGCCTCCATCTCCACCCTCCTGAAATCATACCACCTTCTATTCCTCTATCTTCACCCGCCATTGGTGTGGCCTATCATTGGCCTTCTTAATGGAGTCATCTAAGGATTGGATCTCTTTCTAAGAGGGCTGAAGGATATCATGGCTTTAGTAAAATTGAACTAGATTAGGAGCCATCAAAGGTTTTTGGACATCTTTCCAACAGGGCTAGGAAGGATATCTATGATTTAGCAAGGTTGAACAGAATGTGGAGTTGAAATTTTGGAAAAAATTTAGGGTTGTTACAAATAGTAGTGTAGAAAATGGGATGCTTCCAAACCTTTGAATTATTTGGAAATCTTAGAACAGTAAAGCTAGATGTATTATTGTGGAGACTTTTTTCAAGATAAGGTCCAGTGAAAGCCCTATTCTAGCCAACAAAAGTAGATTTAATTTAAGTTAGAGTAAAGTGCAAGGTACTTGTAGATGAAATAGCATTTTTAATTTAGATCTAAAGTTTTGCCAAAAAAAAAAACAAAAAAGGTTTATAGCTACTAATTGGCCTCTAGAACAAGCCTAGGTTATATGAGCACAATGTCCGACAACCTCAACTTGGTTAGGATTAGGTGTTGAGGACAAAAATTTAAAAAAAAATATTTATTTTAAAGGAGGAATGAGTGTATACCAAAGTAAGAAAATTTCATTTAATTACTTACCAAAGTGAGTAGTTGGAAAAGCTCACTAAACCTCTTTATGTGATGAGGTTGATCATCAAACCAATACCTTCTGTGTCTCTATCTTCATAGCCCATAACACCCTTTCCTCCATCTCCACTCTACTGAAAGCATACCACCTTCTATGCCTCTATCTTCACTCTGCCAAGGTGTGTCCCATGATTGGCTTTCTTATTGGAGTCATCTAAGGTTTGCATCTCTTTCTAAGAGGGCTAGGAAGGATATCTAGGCTTTCGTAAGTTTGAACTGGATCAGGAGCAATCCAAGGTTTGGATCTCCTTCCAACAGGGCTAAGAAGGATCTCTTGGAAGGAGATCTAGGCTTTAGTAAGGTTGACCAGAATGTGAAGTTAATGTTTTGGAAAAATTTTAGGGTTGTGTAGGCTGAGAATCAGCCCCAACCCGAGAGTACTATTTCTCACTTACACACAGTAGGGTGAATAAATGGGATACTTCCAAACCTTGGAATTATTTGGAAATCTTAGAGTAGAAAATCTAGATGTATTGTAAGAATTTCAAGCTTTTAGAAATATTTTTTTGTATTCTAATGAGATTTTATTTCAAGATAAGGTCCAGTGAAAGCCCTCTTCTAGCCAACAGCACTATAAGTAGGTTTAAGGATTTAGAGAAGTGATTTAAGTGAGAGCAAAGTGCATGATATTTGTAGATGGAATAGTATTTTTAATTTAGACCTAGAGATTTTCAAAAAAAAAAAAAAGGTTAATAGCTAATAATTGATCTCTTGAACAAAGACTAGGTTATGTTATTCGAGAAACATGTCCGACAACCTCAACTAGGTTAGGATTAGATTTTGAAGATAAATATTATTAAAAAATTATTTAATTTAATGGAGGAATGAACGTATACGAAAGCAAGAAAATATAATTTAATTACTCACCAAAGTGAGCAGTTAGAAAATATCACTAAACTTCTTTCTGTGATGAGGTTGATTATCAAACCAAAACCTTAAATTTTTCTCCCTTAAAAAACTATCAAACCAACATTAAACTCTATTCTTTCATTCTAGTAAATAAATATAAAATTTTTACAGCATAATAATTCAAAAATAACAAAATAGAAAGAAAAAAAGGCTTGTCCAAGTGTGTGAATGAGGGGTTAGTTACACATATATAACCACTTCTAACCACCCTCAAAATAAGAGATGATTGATCACTCTTAAATGAAAAATGATTAATTTATAAAGTTAATTATCAACTAACTATCTTTTTTAGGAATTTTATATAATTTTCCTCTCATATATTTCAAAACAATAATAAATTTCAAGCTCAAAAATTTAAATTTTGAATAATCAAACATTCAAAATTTGGAATTCACATTATTCAAAATTGCAACTATTTTTCATTAAATATTAAAAACGCATAATCCAAAATAATAATCAACATACACACAAATAAGAATTCTAATTAACAAACTTCATTTATAGTTTGTCATAGAATTTTGATTATTAGTAGCTATCTTATTGCTCTAAGGTCTAATAGTTGATTGACATGCGTCAATTTTTCGCATTTTTTATGGTTTAATTCTAACAATTTCTTCAATTAAATTCATGATTTTACGCTTTTGGAAGATTGAAATTATGTTTTGCATGTTACAGAAAGATTAGCATATAAATCGGAGTAAAACAGAGACTTTGGGAAAAATCAAGTCGGTGTAGCCATGCCTAGATCTAGCTGGTCATGACATTTGTGCAGCGTAGTCACGCCATTTTTAGGTGTGGTATCCTTCTCGGCATAGCCACGCCGTATCTCGAGCATGGACATGCCCTATCTCGCTCGAGTTGCGTCATGATCACGCTGTCCAACTCGAGAGTTGGGCTTAATTATGTCATTGTCAGTCGTGGTCACGCCAGCATATATTCTTCAATTGGAAATAATTTATGTGTGGAATTCTGATGATTTTTGGAAGGAATTTGAACTCAAGCTATAAAAAGAACATTATTGAAGAATTTTAGAGAGCATTTTGGGAGAGAACTCAGAAGGAAGCTAGAATTAGAAAGAGTTCTTCTTCTTCTCTTAGCTGTTATTTGGTTTGTTTTTCTGAGAGAGGTTTTAAGAGAAGTTTATTGCTGTTTTTTCTTTGTGAGAGACGATTACCAAAGGGCTGTAAAAAAATGTATTTCTTGTGAATCTGATTTACATGACATTGTGTTTATCTTTTTCTCAAACTATGATCAGATAAATTAATTTTCATGCCTCTGCGATTTGTGGATGGATTTCCTGGCTTGGCTTTTGTTGTTGATTTCTCATATACGTTTTTCTGCTCATTTAATTATTAAACGTTGTTGGTTAACCTTCTCGCCTTCATTTTCTCAAAACCTGGCCAATTAGAGTGTTAAAAATTATCGTGATCCAAACAGGACATTTAACCACAATATTCAATCAAAACCTGAATTGGGTAGAAGCTTAGTAGAACGATTAGGTTAACCACAATATTCAAACAGGACATGAATGTTTTATTACGGATCTTGCAACCAATAATGGGGATATGAAAATTATTGAGGACGCCATAAAGACAAGTGAAACTTATCTTTGTGGAATTTCAATTCTTCTGACTATGGCATAGGGGTAAGAAAAAAATATCATCCCTAGTTTCCACCAACCATATAGGAGAAATTTCACGAAAAGTAAAACCAGATGTCACACCTCAATCACAGAGGCATGATCCACAACAATCTTGAAGAAACTGTATTTCAATGTTTTTGTTTTTTTGCTGACTCTGATAGATTTAGGATTTCTTTTTACTATTTTCTGAATTACGTCGAACTAGGTTGGAATAGTTAGAAAACTGTAGCTTCGCCTTTTTCAAATCTATTTCTTAACACATTTTCTCATGGGAACGATATGTGGTGCTATTGCAAACCGCTTATTACTTTGACACATATACTTGCATGAAGTGGTTGTCCGTTTCGCGGTAAGTTTACGGTCATCAAGTTTTTGGCATCGTTATTGGGGAAATTGCGTTAAGAAAAACTTTGAAACATAAGAGAACTATAGTTGAACAACTAGGAATCTAGGTTCGGTATTTTCTATTTTTTCTGAAATTTTTCTTTTCTGTTCTTTTCATCATTTCTGTGTGCACTTATATTGATTTGTGTTTTTCTTTGCAGTTGCTGAAAAAAAAAAGTTGAAAAAAAATATATTTTGAAAAACTGAAAAAGCTAAAAAAAATGTTGTTGTTAATTGTCATTTCATTTGCTTACATTTCTTTGAGTCTTTGCATTTTAATTGTGATTGTGTGTTGAGTCAACTCTTGTGTGTGTTGCTTGAAGTCAATTGTTGTGTCTTTTGTGTGTTTAGGTCCTTAAGATCACTAGTGTGGAGTTTCACATTCACTTGTCCTCTATTGAATGCATATGGGTGCACCCATTGACTTAGCACCTATGGACCCTGAAATTGAGCGAACCTTTAGACGATGTAGGAGAGCACTCACTGAACCTAAAACACCTATAAAAATGGCTCACCATTGTACCCATCCATGAGGCCTCTTAGGGACTTTGCAAACCCCACTGCTTAAAAGATTCACATGAATATCAATTACCCTCGATAGAAGTCAATATCTTTGAACTAAGACCTGTCATTATCCAAATGGCTAAGTAAAACCAGTTTTTTTTTTTTTTGGGCGAGGTGGGGCGGGGGTGGGGGGGGCACTGAAAACTCAAATCTGCACTTAGCAAACTTACTAGAACTGTGCGCCACATTCAAGGACAACGGTGTCCCCAAC